AAAGGACACATGTATGGCTGCAGTCGGCTCACTGCGGATAAGAAAACCCACCATCATGCTGAGCGGTTAGACTTTCCAGCTGTAGGTGGACGGAGCCCATTTAAATCACAACCATGATGAACTGAGCTCGACTCAAAAAAGGACCCACAAGATAAAATCCCAGAGCAATAAAGCCATAATGAAGAAAAAAGGGAAGAAACAAGCGTCATCACGTAGCAGCAGCAGAGTAAATGTGATACTGAGCAATTAGCTTGGAAGCTTTTTATAGACCTGATCACTGGTGGAGCCTTAAAGCTGGACAAATAAATACATGAATGAATAAATGAAGCAAAAAATAAAACAATTCAAATAAAGATCAATAAACAAATAAAATAAATAAAACAATAAAGAACAATGACTCTCAGTGTTTCCTTCTACCCCCTCTGATCTTAAAACTCGCTTGTGGCTTCAGACTTGATTTAAGAACGGTGCCCTAACCCCTCCAGGCCGTCGGGTTGGGGGTACCAGCACATCCTGCACTCACTGCTCACTTCTTTGTTTTTCTTCACACGGTCTTATCTGGAAATAGCTCTGATGGGAAAGTCTCTTGTCGTGGACTAGAGCGTCTCCACCCTGAAGCAGAGCCAAGAGGAGGTGCATGAACACTCAGCGTGTTGAGAGGCTGCGATGGAGCTGCTGCCCAGTCATGACTGAAGCACGCTGCCTACTGCAGCTTTAGCGGACAGCAGTGCACTCAGTGGGTTTAACAAACATCCTGCTGCTGGTCTTCAACATGTTCAGCTTATACGACGACATGAGAGCGAAGGAGGAGACGAGCAGCAGACGTAAAGATGCTGAAAATCACTATCTGCTTGGCTTTGGTTTGACATTGCTTGACAAATAAAAATATCACAGTTCAATGTTTTTAATGTGAAACGGGGCTGTTGCTACAGCCGCAGGCAGCAAAGCAGATATGAAGCCGTGCACAGCGTTTGCCACCCAGTCTGGAACCCACGGCGCTCTCTTTGTGTTTTTGGCAGCGGAGAGAGAATATGATTTCCCTCTCCTTGCAATTAATGACTGTTGTGTAGTACTGCGTTGGGAGTCGAGCGATATTAGAAGGAAGCAGCCAGGTGTGAAATAGCCAGAGAGAGAGTGGGGGGGCACTAGGATGCATTTAACATGTTCAGCAGCTCCGTGCAAGACTTCCTGCCTGCAGCAAAGAGCACCGTGCTGCCGAGTGGTGAGCAAAACAAACACTATGCAGAAATAATGTGCCGCTGACGAGAGGAGACAGTTATGTGGTGTCTGCTGATGTAACAAGCTAGCTGAGGACAGGTAAACAGAGGAGACAAGACACCGATGTGAGGCGGTGACAGGACAGTGGGGAGGACAGATGTGCATGAAGGGGAGAGAAGCTAATGAGATTAAAACTGCTGAATGACTTGAACTCTTACTGCCCCCATGTTTACATCAGAAACATGCTGATGTCTGTAGCTTGAGGATGTTCACACCGAGAAGACAACTCTACGAACATCATGAACGGTGATCATCCAAGGCTGCAGGCTGCTATGTCCAGGATCAGGTTCAGGTTCTGTGAGACAGGGTGGAGTCCATTTTCACCATTTTACTGGCTGATATCCTCGGGACAGGACTGCAGGGTGTCCTGATCATCAGCTCTGTAGGCTTCGTGTCCACTGATTGGTCGATCGGCTCTCATCCGAGCAAATTCTTGTTGGTCAGACAATCACCAGCTTCATTCGAGGAGAGAAGTGCAACATGAATTGCCTTCCTGATGGACCCAGCAACTGGCCAAAAAATGGTTTTCACAACTTTAAACACGCCCAACCATCCAGAGAGTGCAGGGTGGGAACATAACTGCATATGAAAGTCAAGCCAATGTGGAAGCTGCACCTTACACCTGCATTATTCCGAATGACCAGCAGGCGGCGACTCTTCTGGTTGCAAAGGATTGAAGAAGTCTATGAGGAAGTGGCCCTACTTCCTCCTCTGTCCGTTGCATTGGTGAACTTTGAGTTTATGGTCTCAGTCGTGAGATTCAAGCCTCTTTGAATGCAGCGTGGTTCCCACTCTGATCCTGTTTATGGTAAACTAGCGGGTGATGTCACCTCTCAGGTATTCTGTGGGTCTAACGGATTTAAAGTTTACCTTTTTCAGATGTTTAGTTGAAGTCACCTCCACAGCATTAAAACATCATCACAGCTCAACAAGCAACCAGCAGATCATCTAAAGATGCCAGCGTAGCTCATCTGTGGTGGGATGTCAGCCGACGTCAAGGCTTTGCATGTGAACATTTCACGAGTGGCATATTTCCATACGTTGGTTCCTTTAATCATTTTCTAACAGCAGGAGCATCAAGCTGCAGGTCTGACAGCCAACAGCAGCAGCTACAGCCAGTGCAGGCTGGACATGAAGCCTCCTCTGTCACCAAAACACAGAAACGGGATGACTGGCTACAACAAGTCGGTAAAAATGGTTTCATACGCTGCAAACACCCTCTCATGCTCATTTATAATTCATTTAAGCTACTAAGTCCAGCGCATAGTGTACCCAGCGGCTAATTTAGTTCATCTGGAGATAACGGATTGTTTTTTGTCTGCAACTAATCGATTGGCTGAAGAGTCGGTACGACTCCAGTCTCCAAAGATGTTCTTTAGTTAAATCCAGAACAAGAGGCTTTGTTCTAATGTTTCTGTCTGAAGATGGGACACCTCAGGTTCAGCAGGTAGCTGATGGGGGCTTCCTTTTGCCTCTAAATAGAGACTCTTGTTCGACTTCTTGCCATGAAACAGAAACGAAGTATTTATAAATAGTTACCAGACGTGAAATATCTAAGACGTGATATCTGGTGCTGCCTGTTTGGTGCTAGACAGTGTCCAGTTTCTGTCTGACGGAGTGGGCGAGGCAGAAACTTATATCTGAGATGGTTCCGACGCCGAGGTCGGCTGCAGCCTTTTAAAGCCTCGGCTCATCTGCTTTTTAACTTCCTGGAATGCGGTCGCTAAGCAAAGGTCCGATCACTGAGGATGGGATTTCTAAATGCCATCTGTTTGTCCCCGCGCTCTCCTTTTCACGTGAAGTCAGTCCGTGGATGCCGGGAAACAAATCAGACTCATAAAGGCAGCGACTTCTCCGTAGTACAGCTGAGAGAAAAATAAAAGTAAAAGGAGGACGAGGAAATGTGGTCCAGGCAGGACGAGGGGATGACAGAGAGGAAATGGAGAATGTGTGTTTAGACTCTGAGCTACACAATCAATAAGTCACAGGAAGTCTGTTCATTTACTATTCGGCTGAGCGGCCAGAAAATATCGGTCAGTGTGGAGATGTTAACAAGCTGGTCAGCTGAAAACGCCGCGGCCTGGCTCAGCTTCTTCCTGCTTATCAGTCTGCTCATAGACAGCCAGTCGGATGCTTTGCTTCCTGATGAGATGCTGCTTCATGTACAGCAGCTCCAACAGGCAGCTAAATGATATCGAGACGGGAAACTGCTGCACATGTTTCACCTGAATGTTTTGGCATTTCTGCAAAATGTCTTTTCTAACATGATTCCATAATGAAGTCAGTACGCTGCTGCTCCAAGCTGCCCGTCTTCTCATCTCACACCAGAGGAACAGTTAGGATGCATCCATCAAGCAAACCTGAACCCGTTTTATTGACACACAGCTGAAATCTGTCATCCAGCATCTTGTAAAGAAAGCAGGAAAAAGGCCAGAGAGAGAAGACATAGGTACGAGGAGTGAGGTGGCAAAAAGCTCAGAGTAAGAGTGAGTGATCAATAGAGAGAGAAGTGCCAAGAGGAGGGAATGAAAACGACAGAAATGGAGAGAGACGAGAGAGCTGGAGGTAAAAAGGGGAGCGAGAGAGAACAGGACAAGCAGAGCGGGAAGGGAAGCAGAGAAGCGGCAGCTGGATGGAGAAGAGGCATGAGGAGAATCCCAATAACCTCCTGTTCTTTCCCCGAGACCAAGAATAATACACTGTGTACTGAGCGAGCGTTTGTGTGCGCTGCATGCTATCAGATGGAAGCGCTGTGCATGTGCGTGCACGGCGCTCTTCCTGCATGTTTGCGTATGCACGAGTGTTAGAAGAAGCTGCATGTTCTCTGTATGCATTTCAGCATGTGTGTTTCCAGGTATGTGTGAGCTCACAAGGGCTGACTGCATGATGATCACGGCGCAGTGCCGCTAACCACCAACAGGAGGCAGTGTTGGACCGCAAGATGGCTTCGACCACCAGACGGCCAGAGAGAAAGTTGGGTCAACAGACAGACTGTTTTCTTTTTTTTCTTAGAAAGATTTAAATAATCCTAAAGGCAGCTTTAAGATATCTCTTTTCATCTTTGCTTGATGTAAAATTCATGCTGCGCCGTCGATGAGGAAACATCTCGTCAACATGTGGACATGCAACAGCGTAGCGTCGGCTTCAGAAGAGAGTGAAACAAGTTCAGGATGTTCAGCCAGAGCACTCCCCGCTGGTCGTGGTGCATTTCAACATTGTTTGAAATCACATTCAGAAATGCACAGTCGCAGTTTCACCAACATAAACGCACAAGTGAATAAAAATCACACATGAAATGTGGTTTATAACGACAGCAGTGTGGAGTCAGAGGAGTGGAGGAAACCACACACTCTGCTGTCTGATGAGCAGACTACAGGAGGCTTCCTGTTATACATTCACAGCTGCTATCATGTAGAATATGAAACCCAACAGTTGATCATTTTGGGAAACATGTTTATTTTATGAGAACGTTGACACGTCTCTCATGTTTCATTTGCTGTCGATACACAGCTAATCACCACATTATGCCTCCTTCATTTGTTAGACACTCAAATTATGGAAACGACGAGGATCAGTCTTACGCTCGCTTATCTGCAGGACCATCTCTTACCCAGGTGCAATTATTTTCTGGAGTTTTGTCGTCATCTCCTGGTTGCCAGGCAACCCTGATGATAGATCAGGCTGCTTTGTGCTATCTCAGGCTTTTTCTGGCTGTTTTAAAACATTGTCTGATCGAACAACAGATTAGCTTTCTGTTACCCACATGTACCGTTTAGAGTCAGTTAGACGCAGCAGCGGGATTTTGTTTGCACAAGAAACAAAATGTAAATCGTAGATTTAAGTATGAAAGCAAAGCCTGAACAGTACAGTAGTAACGTGTAGTATATAGGTATATAGGTCTATAGGTATATAGGTATATAGGTGTATAGGTGTATAGGTGTATAGGTGTATAGGTATATAGGTATATAGGTGTATAGGTGTATAGGTCACGCTGGTGCTCAGCTTTGGGCTCAAAGTGTCAAAAACAGGCACCTTCTCATTGGCTGAAGCACTTAACGTACCGCACATGTTGTTGGACCAGAACTCTGTCCTCCATGGAAGAGAAAAATCCAGATTTCTCTCCATAGATTTTCAAAGTGCAAGGACATAGAATAGAACAGAATAGAATAGAACAGAACAGAACAGAACAGAACAGAACAGAATAGAATAGAATAGAATGCTTTCTATTCTATGATATATATTCTTGACATGTTTGCAGCCGTGCGTTGGTGGAAGATGTCGGCTTGTTGCACAAACGTAGACGTGCACTCATGGAGCGCCGTCACATCATCACAGCGTCGGCTTACGGCTGCATGAGGTGACAGAAGCACTTTGTGTGCACTGATCTCCAGCAAGCATTCTGCTCTGAAGGTAAACATTCACTGCATCGAGACCAACACAGAACCTGGCCGGATCCTTGTCCACTCATATTCAGTGCTTTTTCCTCATCCGTCAAGTGAGCTGCCATTTGTTCTTTGCTGTTCCACGGTGATCTAACGGATGTGTACGGCAGAGCGTTCAGACCCGGATGGACGTCTCGCTGTTCAGGGATCATCGGTGCCTTGAGAGATTTCGATTTGACAAGTGAGCCATCCTTGATCTCTGCCACATGCTGAAGGGATAACAACTGGATAATTCCCAGAGATTATACTCGTCCTTGTCCGTGAGCATGTGTGTCAGCTGACAAAGAATAATGATCCATAATTCACTCCGTTTTAATGATCATTTCTAACAGAAAAAAGAAGCTTGTTGTGCTGTAAGAGAGCTGATTTTGAAGTTGTGGGAGAGACGTGAGCATTTTTTAAAGGACGGCACAGTTTCTCCCTGAGGCGGTGTCGAGGCGCTCAGGTTGATGTGTGTCGATTTGTCTCCAGGCTGCTGGATCTTATAGCTTAAACTGCGATAAAAGTTCAAGGCTATCAAACGCTTACAGTGTGCTCAATTTAATCACAAAGAAAGTTATTAGCAAAACTTAATTTCATACCTAACTGATTCAGAAAATTTACTGCGTGACAGCCGTGGGCACAAGGACGGCGTTGAAGATATAGGAATACTATATTATCATCACAACGATTTCTCCAGCTGATGGACTACAAGACTGATAAAAACCAAACCGCGTTATAGAAATACTTCAGCAACACTCGTACAGTCTCGCTCAGGGTAACCCTTTATCCGCCTTCTCTCTCTCTTCTGGGAGTAATAAGAGCATCACGGTGAGTCGGCTCAGTCTTTTAAAGGCCACCAAGGCCACCATATCGCTGCTGCTCTCCTTTATTTTCATTTTGTCTCTCTAACTTTATCTTCTCAGCCAGATCTGCTTCACTGTTACGACCTAATTTGCAGACGCTGGTACACAACACACTAAACTAAGATGCTGATGAACATGAAAGCTGCCGAGCGTTAGCATGTTTCCATCATGAGCGCGTTACCAACCTGACGTCAGCGTTCAGCTCTCAGGGCGTCTAGCTGCCCCCAGCATGTACGCAGACACTCATTCCTTATCCAGCGTGTCTCGTCGCCCTCTGCTGTCGGTCTTTTGTGTGTTTAAACTGACAGCATTTCACTGCACTCATCTGCTGCATCGAGCTTGTTTCCCAGTGACTGATTTCTTTTGAGTGAGATCGGCCGTACACACCGAAGCGCCTCAACCCGACCGAGGGCACAGAACCACTGGATTCTGTTTTTGGCTCAGAGGTTACAGATCGGCATGCCAATAAGTCGGCTTGGACACAGAGTCTGGGCTTTAAGTCGGGCCTACCGGTAGTAAAGTCCACTTCAGTCGTGGAGGTGATTGGCAAAGGATCTTCAATCCACGGCGTAGCGTGGACGGCAACGCTCCAGTCGCTCCACGTTCCAATCTCCGTGTCCTTGGCAGCCACCTGTTGAACAGCAGCAGTAAAAGCATTCTGTCAGTCAGAAGAATCTGTCATCTAAAGAATCTGTAAAACCTGCTAGAGCTGAGAGCCAACCAACAAAAACAAGGAATGAGTGAGTTCAGCCTCCAGATGAAGAAGTTAAAGTGACTCGTCTTTGTTAGGTGTGAGACAGAATAAACTCGTCACCTGGATGATGTACTCCTTCCCAGCGTAGGCATCGGTGATGGTATGGGAAGTGCTGTCAGACAGCTCCACCTACACACCAATCAGAAGAGAGCAGGTGGTCAGTTTGGACCAGGAAACCAGCACCAGGATGTGTGGACCTGCTGCCTGGTTGTGTCATGACAGTAAACAACACGATTCATAAAGCAGACGGGTTTGACTGGGTTCAGTGGCCCTGGAGAGGTAGAAAATGTTCCAGTACGGCGAACTGGAAAACCTCTCTGCAGCAAAGACCACTTATGCTGTCCGTAGTCAGCTTCTGTGGTGAATCGGTTCCCCTCCAGCCACGGTTCTGCCCGTGTTCATGTTTCAGAGTGGGCAGCTTCAGCGGAGCCATACAGAACCCGGCCATCATTTATTGACTCACCTTTCATCAGTATTCTGCTCATAGGTCAAACGAGCTGCTTCGTCCTTCTCCGTGTTTTGCATCATGCCTCCCCCCCCCACATACCAGCGCTCATGTGAAACCAGCGGCATAATTGATGATTATACCAGGAAGTGTTGGCATCAACGCCACATAATTTTACCACACACTGTAATCCACGCCAACGTTTCAGAGCCTTTTGTGCACACTTTAATTTGCAGAGTGAAACGGAGAACGAAGCGAATGTTTGAGTTGCAGGGGAGTGCATGAGAGAATGATTTGCTGCCTCGCAGTAATTTACGGTGAGTGCCGTGTGTGTGTGTGTTTGTTTGCCTTTGGCTTGTGTCAGAAAGACTGAAGGAAGAAATAGGAGGAGGGAAGGAGGGCGCTGCGTTTTCTTTTACCTCCTGAAGTCAAAGTGAATGATTTAGTGACAGGCCTCGTGCCTTCTACGGCGTAGCAGTGAACCCAACACGTACATGCACCTACAGCAGCGCCGCATAGATCCGGGTTGGAGCTAAACCTGCAGCTGGAGGTCACCTGAAAGCCTGGACTTAACAACTAGTCTTTTTAATATGCAGGCGAGACAACAATATAATACATCCACAACTCAAACATGATGAGCAGGATTACATTTTGTGCATCACCAACGTGCCAGTAATCCTACAGTCAGTAAAAACATCTGAAGATGAGGCAAAACCAGAAGTGTAGATGCTGGAAACATCATGATCTCACTGATATGAAGGGCAACAGGGCAAGAATCCGGCAGTCTGCTGATTGGAGAGGCTGCCAACAAGCCAACAGTTTAAGCAGATTATCTGAGCTGTTTTATTTCTTTTATTGAAAAATGAACAAGTAACTGAGAGCAGCTGTAACATCGCTTGTGCTCCCACAGCAGTCAGGACAGCAGGTCAGCGCTGACCCAACAAACCATGGACGCAACGACTTCACCTTTGACCAAAACAAGCCAGTCGTAGGTCCAAAAACCTCCTCAAGTAGTCCTGATATCACAAGCAGCTGCTTCAAGACAGTCTGATTTAATTAAAGCCCCCGTCACACCACCGTATCATCTCAATGCCCACCACCACCAGCAGCAGCTGTGAGCCAAACCTCAGGCTGGAGTTTCCCCTCTGAGTTCTCCAGGATATGCAAAACCTGTAGTCAATCTGACAAATCACCCACTGGCACACCCTGAGCTTCCTCGCTCTTCCTGTAATCTCTCTCTCATCACTCAGCCTCTCTGGTGAAGTTGACCCCTCCATTTTCAGCATAGCCTTGATCTTAACAGCCTCTCTCTCTCTCTCCTGCTCTATCTGCTCCCAGTCTTTGTCTGTGGAAGGGGAGCTCAGTCTTTATCTGCCTAACCGAGCGCTACATTTATAGGCTTAATTTCATTAGTGGAATGCAATAACAGACGTCATCCGAGCGTGCATGTGTGTTACATCTACGCGTTTGACTTTAGCATAAAGCTCACATTGTGTGCAAACGTGTGCGCTAGCTGACATGTGTGCCGCCTTTGAGGCCAAATCCTCCACTGTTTAGATGTCGTCCAGCCAGCGTATCCAAGCGTTGCTCCTATCAGCATTCCTTGCCGCCTCTAATGTGTATCTGTGTGTTTGCATACTGACGTCTATGGTGCGAAGCCTTGTGAAATTCAGCCAGACGCTCACATCGATTAGATTCTGAGCGTTTGTTTAAATCGCTGCACGTGTCTTCGTATATGTGTGCGTATGTTTGCTATGAGGAGAACACACCGCTTTGTGTTTCTTTGTACTCGCATGTTGACTCTCGTGTCTGTACACGTCTGTTGCGTTGTTGTTCGCGAGGCTCGACTGGAACTGGATGCGACGTCCACGTCAGTCGGCGTGAACGACATATATGTGCCTGTGTGTGGGGGGAGTGTATGGAGTAAACAGCCTGCAGATAAACATTTCCAGAGAGATGGATGTGTTGCTGCGTTGCCAAGTGGCTAAACAGGGAGCGGTGAGAGCAGCACTTAATATCACGTCGTAGGGGGATGGGGCAGGAGGGTGGGCTGGATGGAAGGAGATGCATTTTTGAGAGGCTGTTTGCTGTCGCTGCCAAGAACAGCGTCAGATCAGTCGCGCTGCAAGACCGAGCATGTGTGTTGTGGCTGCGGTGGTGAGGTGAGGCGAGCTGGCTCGTCGCGCTGCGCATGTGAAGGTTTGCATCTGACGTGTGTCTGAAGAGCTGATCTACTGTAAACGAAGCTGTGAGGAGTGCTCATTAAAACCATACACGTGAGATTGTGTGACTCATTTACACACACTCACAAAAAAAGGAAAGCAGACAATCACACACACCGAGCAAACACAGTGCCACCCCAAACACCCAAATATTTACTGAGCATAATCACATCCATTAACGCAGTGTAAATACAGCGTGTCCGCTCACCCCCACATACGATACGACAGCAGTAAGAACGGTTCGGCCCAAACAGGCCCACCGCACAATGATCAGGTTGGAGAGCAATGACTAAATGGACGCTGCATTTTCTCATTTCATGCATAAACACGTTTGTCTTCTCGTTGTAAACACCGTTGGATGTCTGAGGATGAACGGCAGCCTGCCGCCGGACACGACACCAGAGTTCTTCTTCTACCGCCGCGAATGTCACCGGCCTGGCCAGCTGACTGGATTATTACTGACTTCAACAGAGTCAGAACACCAGCAGCTAATGGTCACGAGCTAATTCAGAGGTCCTGCTTAGACTGTACATCACAAATGGAAGCGAGGAAGCCTCCAGTCTGGCATCTGGCCATCACCGTCTCAAGAAGACTAGACACACTGGTACAGTAGTGATGTCAATCACAAGGTAGCCCCGCCTCCAACATGCCCTGCTTTAGCCTCAACTTCAAATCAAACCATAATTTACAAAATGAGCATTACGTTGCACTGAAGGAGACACTGAACTAGCAATAGAAACCATAAACAACACTGACAAAGGTCATAAATCCAGGAACGAGTCCGGCCATTTTCTCTAAAGACACCTATAGAACCTGAGCTTGTTGTGCAACCAGAGGATTCTCCCCCTGCTGGCCAACCGCAAGAAAGCAAGTTCAAGTTGCTTCTGCATTGGTGTGACTCACTGGATGGAGGTTGTGGGTGACACAAGAAAGCCTTTATATGTGCATTTAATGCAGCTTCCACCTTCTCTTCTGCTATCTATCTGTTACCATTTTGTCTTTACCAAACAACAACCACCTCACACTGAAAAAGTCTATCCAAGAACTTGGATCGTGCATCTTTACCCATTTTAACGGCAGCGCTCTCCTCCCTGCTTCACTATTTTGAAGGGGCACCGTTGCTGCATCCCGGGCTAAGCTTCCACCAAGACGTCTGTGGTTGGTTTAAAGAACAGCAAACAAACCAGGCGTGTCTTCCATGTCGTGTATTGTGTGCTGCGGGTGGTCTGACTACTTCCACACTGTCTTTACATTTCAGAGCCGACTCCAGTCGTTCATATGCAGCCTGTGTCTAAAGCTAGTGGCAGGTCTTCAGCTTACTTGTCTAAGAGGCTGAAAGAAGAGACTTTGGTAAGAACACGGCTGGACTGAAAACTGTAATGATGATCCGTGTGAGGGAATCACACACACACACACACACACACACACACACACACACACACACACACCTACACACACACACTTCCTACAGAAATCCAGACAATGAGAGGAGATGAGGACATTCCTCAGGGATTGCATAAGGAGCAGTGAGAAACAGAAGTGAGCCTTTACAGTTCAAATATTCTGTTTTTAATCATTCCTTCCCTCATAGATTTAATCTACTACTTGTGTTTACTGTTGAAGAAAAAAAAACAACAAAACTTTGTACTCTCCCAGCGGATCAATAAAGTTTGGTCTCGTTTTGTCTCCTTGACATTTATTGTGATGTTGAGAGGAGCTCCGACCGACTCCACTGTTTACCAACTGCAATATTTACAAGTGGTGCTTTAAAATGGAATTACATATTCTGATTCAAGCCCACATCACTGGGCTAATGCTCACTATCCCATCGAATACATCCTCCACAAGACACAGGTCGTAGGTCAGAGGTGGAAAGGACAGCGAGATAAGCTGATCAGTGGGGAGAAAAGAGAAAACACAGATAAAGACGGGACAAAAATGAAGAGGTTGACAAAAGAGAGATGCAAAAACGAGACAGTGGGAGAAGGCCAGAGAGGGAAGGACCGAGCCGAGAGAGAAAGAGGGAGACATGGGGGGAATTGGCGTCGGTGGTCAGATCTAATCCAGTGAGCATGTCTGTTGTCCTGGAAAGGAAACCCAATTATATGGCACTTCCACTGGCCCGATGGCGCTCGGTGTGTGTGTGTGTGCACTGAGAAGGTTGGTCTCATTAGCTTGACTGACAGCTCCCATTTTTCCGCCGCACTCTCCTCCCTTTTGAGAACACACACTCGCGGACACACACATGAATGTCAGGTCCAGGGTAATTTCTCAGACAGTATTTCTCCCTTTGAAGCTCCAATCGCCACAGCAGCAATTACTGTAAAAGGGAGCTAACCCCCCAGCCAATCGAAGAATCCCGAAGCAGACTTACACCCTTAAGTATATATAAAAAACACAGCGGCGGAGGTGGCTCTGCATTAACTCCGCTTGATGCTGTCATGCCAGCATGTCAGAATGTG